TTTTTATAAAAAATTAAATGTAACTGTTATTACTTTTTTTAATTTTAGACTTGATGCTAAAATTTGTGTTACTTGCTTAAAATTATTGTTTAAAAAATATCATAAATCATTCTTCGCCGCTATAAAATCAAAAAGACAAAAGCTGCAAGTTCAAATGGACAAAAATATATTAGGAAATTAAAGCCTATGGTGAGTAGTTTTAATGTGGTTTCAATACATACCTTGTTCATTAGCGTAACTAACAATTCATCTAAAGGGGCGAAGGGGCCTAGAAATAATGTAAAATAAATAAAAAAAATCCCATTTATTTCGAACTTTTTCTGTATACAGTACAACATTAATTCGAAATTACCACTCTGTATAAACAAAATTTTATGTTAATATATAACTTAATATTTTTTTCCGCTAATTTTAAATATATTTGTACTTGTTTCTGTTTATATTAAACCCTGTGTTTTATAGGCATCATAAATCCACACAAATTTTACCCAACTTATGTTTTGTCACGCACTTTTTCTGCATAGTATTGATTGAATTGAAAATGCATTTTGATTGTAAAAATGATTTATCAAGACATAAAGTTGAATTTTATATGTTAGCGGAGAAAAATTATTATTGGTTTGAACAGAATATAGTTATGTTGAGTAAGATAGAAAAAAACAAAGAAAAAAAGCGTTAAACAAAGCGTTTAGAATGTTAGAAAAATCTGATATGGAGTGTTAGGTTGATATGCCAATACTATACGACGTTTAAGCAATTTCATTTTTGAAACGGATAGCCACATACGAGAGGTATCTCACTATTGGAATTATATGTAAATTTTCTTGGCAGTCGCTTGGCAATCGCTTGGCAGTAAAATAATATTTTGGCAGTACAGGTACATTTTTTACCAAAGTGAGACCCCCTCGGCCACATGTCTTCTTTTTATGCTACGGTGACTGTGATAATCACCAAAATTGACGTTTGGGTTATACAATTTTTTGTGACAGGCTGTTTTTTTCGTCCAGACATTTTTAATATTTTTTTTTCTAAAAAACGGTTAATGGTTTGGTATAGAGTGTGTAATATCAAAATTCATAAAATGTTATCATACTTTAAGTATGAGGGAAATAAATTTTAAAGCTATTTTATATATAATTTTGCTATCTCGCGATGCGGGACTTAATATCTTACCGCTACTTTACGACAAGTCGTGTTTATATACTCTGTGCTGTGCTCGACATATTGTGGAAATACCCAAGCTCATCTGATGATGGGGTAGGGCCCCGAAACCGGTAGTGAGAGCAGGTTGATCCACATTATGTCGAACACAGCGTGGAATTAATTTCTTATATTAGCAGTTCAAGGCAAGAAACTCTTATATAATTTTATTTAAGTATGAGTAGAGGGCCTTATCGGTCGCGGTTTATCCCCCACCCCTTTTTTTTTCAAGGCCACGATTTGTACCCAAACCCAAGCGTTTTCAAGGCCACTATATGTGCCCAAACCAATGTGTTATAGATGGATGCAAACCCTAGTGTGTCCTTCATTCAAGGCTGAAACTAACGCCTTTTCGAGGACATCTATGTCGAGATACCACTCCCCCTTTCCCCCATGACGCTATTTCTTCAAAGTTAAATGTTTATTATAAAAAGAAATTCTGAAGTCTATTGTTTCATAATAGTTTGATCCCTCACTAGTTCAACATACACTATTTGTTATCAACATACAGTATACAGTTTCCACAAGTTCAACATACATCGATTAATAACATTGTTGTATCCCTGCCTATATTAATTAGATTTGATAATAGTTTTAGGAAAGGTCTCTCTCTCTCTTTTAAGTTACGCCACTGTTAAAATTTGTTTGTGCATCTAAAAGACGATCTGTACCAAGTTTTTCCCAATATCAAGGGCTTATAAAAACATTCATTACCCTTAAAAGCAAATAACCGCCGGACCAAACTCTTAGTCATAAACAACCTTTTAATTTTATTATTAGTCGAAAGTCCGTATTGTAATAATATAGCTTTGTTAGTCATGTCAGGAGAAGCTCAACAAATTAGGCAAAGAAAATAAAGTCCTCCTACTCTGGTGCCTGCTCACCAAGGGATAGAAGGCAATGAAAAAGCAAATGATCTAGATAGAAAAGGAGCGACCACTCCACTAACTGGACCAGAACCGTTCTGTTTTCCAAATGGGAACCAACTGAAAGCGGAACTGAAGAATCTGGAAGACTCCATCCGTAACTTGGAATGGGTGTCCTCCAACGGTCTAAGACACTCGAAAAAGTTCCTTAGAACTTATGACCGAGAAAAATCAAAGGTTTTCCTTGATTTAAGTAAAAACAATCTTTGGATTGTCATGGGGTTTCTAACAGGACACTGTCTCCTCAACGAACACCTCAGTAGGCTGAAACTGAGAAACAACGGCGAATGCAGATTTTGTGGGAAAAATGGGGAAACACCAGAACACCTTATCACTGAGTGCGCCGAGACGACGACCATTCGTGCCATGAACCTTGGTACGTCTGATGTCGAGGATGGAGAGCTGGCCTCTGTGGAGCCGTCTCAGATACTGGCTTTTCTTAAAGCCCTGAGACTGTATGATGAGTTATAACTCGTTATAACTCAAGAAAGAGGAACACACAATAGATCTATAAGGTCGCGGTGATTAACTCCCCTCCTAAACATTCTACATTCTAGTCATGTCCGTTTCTATACACAAATATTGTAAAGTCTAGACATTAGTTATCTTTTTCTTGAAGAATCGACACCTTAATGAACTTTACCCTAAAAATACTAAAAAGTATATTGTACGCCCCTGGCTATTGGGAAGTCGGAGACCGTATTTTAGAAACTGAAGGAGAACACTCAAAAGAATTAATTCGTTTCATTCAGAGGCTCACTTACTCTAAAACACTCTTCCAAGATGTAGCCTTACCAAACATACTCCCTTTACTTTCGACAGTCTCTTTTATTTTCGATACATCCTTGACAGTTATATTCGGCAATTTCTATATTTACTTGTAAAACTAATTGTAAAAGTTTCCTAAAAATAAAGTACAAAGTAGTTAAGATAAAGTGTAAGTTATTTATTATAAAAAAGGCAGCAAGCAGTAGAAGTATCTCAACATTAAAAGAAGCAGTTTCATCCAGAACATAAGAAGAAAATACTACATATTGGCAGGTTCCTTACAACATACAGTAAACAGCGTCCGCGTTTATTACATATTGTGTAAGTGGCGGAATTAATTATGTCTAGAGAATCGTTAGAAAAAATTAATAGTGTTATTAACAAATACATCGACCCATTACCAAGAAAAAAATTTACGAGTTTGACTATTGGTAAAGCATATAAAATTAAGCAGATCCTAATTAGTAATACACGATTTGGTAGATCTATATTTGTAACATTGTTGAATGAAAGTGATGTGAATATTTTTACAACATATTTGCCGAAGAGAACTGTGAATATTATGAGTGGTGAATTAGTTGATTCAATAAATAAGTCTAGTGAGAAATACACATTGACTTATTTGGGGCAAAGTGAACCACTCTATCCCAGTGCAGCTACTAGGGCCACCTTTTTTTTATTGTGAATTTGAAATCTCATTGTGCGATCTAATAATATGCATAATATTAATCGTAGTTATTATAAATAAATCAACTTCTACAAACTAGTTTCTAATGTTTTACATGTTCGAAAGGACTACCACCCTCCCTATTGCACAAATTTATTTTTCGTTCTATTTTATTTATAGTTTTTTGAACTTTCTTCTTATACTTCCGAATGCATTTTGTACTATTTAATATAAATGCTGAGATGAATTGATTTCACTTTTACAAATGACGTTTTTCAGTTCATCTTCCGCAAAAATGGTTTGATTGTTTATATTATATTATATTTATATTAATTATTTTATATTATTTCGTTGCATTTGATTTTCCGTATTCAATGTTTTACCCCAAGTCATTGTTATAGCAGCAATATGAATGCTAATCAATATTGCAACGATGAATAGATTAAATATTTAGAAAAAAAAACAGAGCCGGACTTGAAATTAGTTTAAATAAATTGTGTTCAAATATCAAAACAAAAAAAAAATATCATTGTACTCCGGAGACCGAGTTCTTTTAAAATCTGAAATGAAAAATGTAGGTCCGTATTTAAAAAAATTAAGTTGGACTCTGTATCTCACAAATTATCAGCTAATTTGAAAATCTAAAAATACTATCAATCGGATAGCCCTTAAAAAAGTGGCTATGAGAATGTGCAATTATTTTTTTGATTTTCTAAAAAGTAAAGACAGGAAAAAATAAAATTCATTTTTAAGAAACTCAGTTTTTTCCAAAAAACTCAGCAATTCTTGAAATTTTTAAAACTTTTTTGATGGCATCTTGGTGAACATCCCAAAGCGCAACTTTGCCCCAATGTAACCATGTTCGTATTGTTACGTTTTTCGTCGGTTCCGTGTGGATAGAACACACGGAACACACAATTTATTTAAACACTATTTATTTAACACTAATTAACAAAAACAATAACGATAAAAGACTTATAGAACTATTTACAAACGATTTATAACTAAGAATTTATTTTGAATCTTTTTAGCGCGTCAACTGCACTTGTCGATTTATAACTGCCCCCTGTAGGCCACATCCGCCGGCTTTTATACCGACAGGTAAAGAACTCTAGAATAGTCCATAGATCGTTAGGTGCACACGGGTCCGCAACAGTATCTATTACGGTTACCGAGATACCAATGCTCGTACCTCGAATTTGTAGCACCCTGTATAGGTTCAGAACTCACGAACCACCACTGAATTTTATATTGTCACAACGAAGATTCCAAATTGAATTGTATTGACTAAATTTTTCAAAGCAGACGCCACTGTTAAATTGAAAACCGTATGCAATTCTATGCTAAACAAGTTCGTCGAAAAATTGGAACACATAAGCACATACGATTAACTTTTTTCTTATCGAATTTTTATCAGAAAGATTATAAGTGGTGTTGATTTCAGTCATATCAGATAGACCGTCCTACTAGTACATCCCAATGTTCAGTGGGATTGTAAAAATTAGATTTAAACCGTCGTTTATTATATGAACAATAATTAAGGTAGCTGTGATGTGTGATATGAATATGTAAATTAGGATTTGGAAAAGTAAAATTAAAATGGCACATTACACCTTGGTGAGTGTTATTACATTTATATTTAATACTTCTGTAAACACAGAATTTTTCTAGAGAAATTACAAATTTTAAGATAAGATTTTTTTAGTAAATAGAATATTGTATTACCTATTAACTCTTTTAAATCCTATATCTCTTTTTTTATAACGTTTCATATAATTTTATCAAATTAGAAATAAATTTAGGATACAAACTTAATTAATTTACTTTACTGTTTCTAATTTATTGGTCAGCTTGAAATAAAACTTTATTTCAAATCATTTTTTGAATAATATGTGTGAAAAAATGTCTATACCTCTGTGGCGGGTTCATCTCTCCAAAAAAGTCCTATGGGCATTTCGCCACTGTAAGAAAGTCTACAAAACAAAATAGTTATTTTCTGTAAATACTGCTGCGTGAATCCAATAGAGACTAATTGTCAGCAGTGGCTTCCCAACAAGCAAAATTTATTGCTGGAACATTGCCAAAACCTCGCAAAGCAAGGTGTAAGATTGCTTTTTTCATTGTAGGGAGGTTTATGCAAGGTTTCAGGGTAGCTTAATCTTCCGCCTAATAACATTGCAGTGCAAGGTTGCATTTCAAAATATTATTGAAACGTTGCTAACGTAACGTTCAAGAAAGTACTAATTTGGGATGTATTAGCAATATTGTTAATTTTACGTCAATTCAATATTGGTAAAATTATATTATTAATTATAATTAACTGACGTATTGCTAAAATAATATAGAAAAAAATAGATAATGTTTGCATTAAAAAACTATTTCATTCATCAGAGGGAAAATATAAAAATTATTTTTTAATATTTACTTATCAATAAATGAAACAGTTTCTTCTTGCGAACATTAGCAATTTTATGTTAACAATAATACATCAGTAATAGGTTATAATCAACAGAAACATTAATGGGTATTAAATTGTGGACTTTCACATAGGTATAATATACTTTTACTAATATTGTATTGACGAAAAACATAAATAATATTGATAAAAATATGTAGGTATATCTCTATATCCATTGACTTAGAAAAATTAAAAATGCTCGGTAAATATATCACTACCAAGAAAGTCGAATTTGTCAAACAAATTGAAAAAAAACAAATAAAAATTAGAAATTTATCACTTACTTGTTTCAAAAATATCAAAAATACTGTCAAGTACTTAGAACTTACTGATCTTTTCGGCTGCTCATTAAATAAGGAATTACTCAACTCTGACTTCCGAGTCGAATTTTTAAAAAAAATCTTAAAGTTGAATGTCTGAAATAATACAAAATATATAGGTACAGTATAAACATTATTTTATATTTCTTATTCAAAAATACAAAAGGAAAGTATAACATTAAATGTACGTAGAAGGAAAAGTAAAAATATTTTAACTGATTTTTTGGATCTTTCATATTTTGTCTTCGCATGTTGAATTGTCTTATTCATGGTTTCAAATTCCTTTTCGGTAAAGTTTTGAAATCTATATCCAATCATTTCTAAAGTACTAAAAATAAAAACAATCAGTTGTAATAAATAAAAAAGCAATGAGAAACTTACCTCTTGTGACAGTAATCTTTGAGGCCCGTTTATGTCCTTATTTTATAAAATTTCAAATGATTAAATAAAAAAATCATTAAAAAAATATTATTGAGAATAATTAATACTGAATATTATTTGTGATTTTATCATTAGATTGATATACTCGTATCCTGATTTTATCTACTTCTACTTCAATCTTCAGTTGGTTAAAAGCTAACCTAAAACATAAAATTTAGCTTAAAAACAAACTAAGCTAAACAAAATTTGTTATACTTATTCATGGCTAAGTATTATTCAAACACACATCACACATAATAATAAAATTATACTTACATTTACATTCATTAAAATCTCATTCGAAAAGCATAAATGTGATACCAAAAACGTAAAAAAACAAGTGCGTTAACTTAATCTAACTTATACCGTATGAACGAAAAAAAAAAAGATGTCAGCGATGGCTATGAAAAGAAAATCGCTGTCATTTTATATGGGGAATGTCATCGATATTCATTTCCAAGCTAACTAGACGCCGTTTTTTTCAATCCTATGGTATATTTGTTATATTATTAATTAATATTAACTTGCGCGGATTTGAATCTTTGTTGCAATGTTGCAGAAAAAACGTTTTAATCACCATTCAGAAACAATGTTTCTGTAGCAAGGTTTTATCAATCACGACACAACGTTTAGAAATCAACATTACAAAGCAAACTGTTTGGGGATTGACTGCAATGTTGCAAATGTAATGTGTGGTTTTTTGCTTGGTGGGTTACTAATATACAAATTTGGCTAACGGACAAAAAAGTACTTAACGTTTCGGAAAGTATATCTCTTTCCGTCGTCGGAAGCAAAAAAATACAAAGAACCAAGAAAAAACTATTTAAAATATTTAAATGCAAGTATTCGTGAACACTTTAGTTTTTTTTTAAACAGATACGTCTACAAAAACCGTTGACATTCTGTTAAAATGATATTATATCAAGTTAAACTTCAAAATTAACAATTACTACCTGATAACAATTATCTACTTAATAAGGAAAAACCAAAAAACTTCAAAATTTCTGTATGATTATATTTAATTTATTTTTGATTTTTACGTACCATTGCGATAAAAAAAAGTAGTACAACAAAATATGATTTAATCTGCAGGTCTATAATAAAATATTAAAAATTGCCCATTTTTAAAGGTAGGTAAATTTTTTTTATACTTTTATTAAAAAATATAAAAGTTACTTTTATTTAAAAAGTTAGGTGGCATAATTGTATTGTTTTCATAGTGACGACGATATCCACTTCTCGATATCCTTATAGACCAGGAGTTATATCTGGGACTACTAATTCTTGTACTACTTTTTTTATCGCAATGGTACCTATGTTATATTCTTTAAAATCAAAGAAGCGATTGCCATACATTACTAACATCTACAGATGCATGCGCAATACATTTATTTTTATTAGATTGTACTAAATTATATATATATATATATATATATATATATATATATATATATATATATATATATATATATATATATATATATATATATATATATATATATATATATATATATATATAAATATATTCCAGTCATCTTAGTCGAAATAGGGTAGGAATCTCGAAATTCAAGACAACCGCCTGTAAACTCGTATAAACCTTTATTTTAACATCCTAAAACATGTCTCAAAACCTACATATGATAGCATGTGCGCGACTTGTAGATAACTGAGGTCAAAGGTCAACAAATTGATTTTTTGTGCATTTTTTGCAAATACGTTCTTGCAAATACCTCTTTTGCAAATACCTTTCTTCGTTCCCTTTCACATTTACCCTATTTGTATTTATTATAAATATTGTAAGGATAAAATTTTCTACAACTTTTGTTTCAAAAAATTTTTTGTACCTCAAACCGTTTTTGAGATAGAGGGCGGTGAGGGCGCAGTCTTTCATTATGTACGGTATCATCCAAGTTCAACCTGTAGTCTCGGTCTCTCGGTCAAAAAAACGCCGTATAAAGTCCGTTAATTATTGAAAACTATTTAATTATAAATAATTTACATTTTTTCATAAATGATCATATTGAATATAATAATTTTTTTTATAAATTAAGTATATCTTCATTTAATAACACTTACCTCTTTGTACAATTAGAAAATTATTAACAGAAATACTTTAATTATATTTTAACTATAGTTAGATTTATACTAATTGCATTTTAAGTAAAAAAAAAGACAAGAAATACATTTTTAATTTATATGTCTACTAAAAAATACGATTTCATACATTTCTTGTTGAAATAAAAAAAATTGAATAAAAATAAAAAGAACTCCATGTTCTTATTTTTAGTTTACTTCTTCTTCTTCATCATCGTCGTTCGGTCTTTGTGGAATTTCAAATTCTTCTTCATTTTCATCTTCAACGACATTTGTCTCCAAGTCTTCTAGGATTTCGGGGTCAAATATACCATCTTCATTGACATCACTCTGATAGGGTTAAGCATTGAGACAAACTTGCCCATTACACTAGCCACAAGCTAAAGAGCACGGCGACCCTGATTTCCTGCATCCACATTGCGAACCACAACCATTCTTGCAGTTGCAGAATATTGTGTTCAGCAAATTTTCTGGAGCTAGAGGTAGAATAGTAGTGGTAGGTTCCAGGAATCCATTACGCATTATCCAACCCCAGTCCTGGGGTTCTAAATCATGCCCTAACCAAGTCTGAACTTGGTAGTAAACACGATTGAAATGTTGGTGAGCTGCTGCACTTGTTGGTGGAAGATTTGATAATTGCACAGGTTTATTCAGTTTGGTTGATTTGATGAATTGTGTATAACGAAGATGATCGATGCTGTTCTCAGATTTTGGAACATTATAGATTGCTAACAAAGTTCGCACTCCATTCTCAAATAAACTTTGAACCGTCTTCAAATGCTGCAGCAAGTTGATCCAAATCCGGAAGTTTTTCAAGTGTTTTTACATAGTTTTTTTTCCTTTTTTGAAGAGCGCAGAAGTCGTGTCACAGCCACTCACTACGTGCAGAAACAAAATATGTTTTTTCAAACGAGGATATTTAACAAAACTTTTGGACGAGTATATTTCAGTTTTTACATTTCCTTTTCCAACTTTTTTTAAAAAAAATTCTTCTCGATGAGATAGAGTATGCCCAAATTTGATATCAAAAGCTTTGAATTTTTCATTCAGCATATTAATAAGCTTTTCTTTATTATTTCGATTAGATAGGAATTTTTCAGGTACAACCATCGATTCGTCAAAACAAACTTCGTATGTTTTCGAAAGTGCAGCAGTTCTCCTTAGCTGCTCCATGGCTTTTATATTTTTAGAATAGTCTGAATATCCATCAAATACAAAAATAATGTCTGAACCATAATGCATTTGTAAATATTACAGGTTGAACTTGAATGGTACCGTACATAATGAAAGACTGCGCGCTCAAATCGCGCCCTCTATCTCAAAAA